ATAGCCAAATAATAGGATTTGATGTTCACTGTTTTTAAACTTAAAAAAGTAATCAAAGTTTCATTTTTTTTTAATAATAAGATAAACTCTTCTAGTTTAAAAATATATTAGGTTCTAAAGCCTAAAAATTTAAATAAGCGCTTAATTATCCAGCACTTAATTATATTATACATAACCATAAAATTAAGTCTGAGTTTTCTGCGTATTTAGAGATACTAAATTTTAAAAATTTAAATGTTGTGAAAAATACATTTGTCATGGCCATATTTAGATCAATTTAAATATCTATTATATATTTTTATAGTAAAGTTATGAGCTACTTTTTAAGGGTATGGTTAAGAAATAATTATTAAATGAAAACGAAATTACGTTACCTTTTTTAAATTAAAGTTGCACATGCGCATTATAAAATGCCGCAATTGTTGAATACTAAACCACCGCGCTGTGACTCTAAATCGCGAAAAAGTGATATGCCTATAATTATGCTATTCTGTAAAGGAAGTTATAATTGATTTATTTTCGGAAAATATTAATTTTAATATTTTTGAAAATATTTGTTTGTTAGAATATTCAAGTGTTTTCTTTGTTGTTGATTAAAAATGAAAAGATTAGAACTTTTAAACATAATTGAAGAAGTTGGTATTAATATAATGCGAATTTGGTATTAATAATCAAGCTCTTTTAGAAGCTGAACTACTGTAATCATTACTTTCAGTAATCATTACTATACAACACTAGTTATGACACCGTTTCTTTCTAGGAATACTTAAAGTTTTATACCTTCAAACTGTGTTCCTTTTTTTTTCCTTGTTTTTATACCTTCAAACTGTGTTCCCCAATCTGTATGCATAGAGAATGGTGCACCAAATAATGAAAAAAAGACTGAAAAGGTGTTGTATCACAGTGTAGGCTGTTATATACTTACAAGGAAATGCAAATAGGTAGCGGTATTCGTCTACTACCACGAGAATGTATTTATTAGCTGTGGTAGATTGTAAAGGTCCGACAAAATCCATAGATAAGCGTCCCAAAGGTCTCGTTTTCTGAATAAGACCGCCAGTTGGAGGTTTGTTGAAACGTGGTTTGAGTTCGCTACAGGTTGTATATTGCCTTGTTAGCTGTTTAATTTTAATGGTATGGTAGGTTAGATTCCGGGTTTTGCAATAATGTATCATTTTTTTTAATTCCGGGATGGCATAATTGGGAATGAATTTTGTAAAAGGTTTTATTTGTTATTTGAATCGAGCAACATCGAGAAAGAGCATTGGCTACAATATTTTGGTTTCCTGGTCTGTATGAAATTGTATAATTAATATCTGCTAATTTTAAACTAGTTTTCTCTTGCTTGAGTAAGTCGTATTTTGCGTAGTAGGAAAATAAACCTATCATTCGGTTTAATTCTTTTAAGGCTTTTGGCTCTGGCATATTTATAAAAGCTTCATATCTTTTCGGGTCGGGTTTTAAGGTTCCATTTTTAATGGTATGGCCTAAGAATTCGATGCGAGTTTTTTTAAATTTGCTCTTTTCTTTGTTTATTTCTACGTTGGCAATTTTAGCTGCGTGTAGGAACCGGCTAAGATTTTTATCGTGCTTTTGGACATCTTTTCCACCAATAACTATATAGTCGAGATAAACATATGTGTTTTCCAGTTTATTAGTTTGAATAAATTCATCTAAAACTCGCTGAAAAATCGGTACAGCATTTGTGTAACCAAAAGGTAAACGTTTGAACTCGTATAATCTGCCATTAGCTTCGAATGCGGTTAGCTTGTAATGTTCAAGTTGTATTTTTACCTGATAATAAGCCGATTTGAAGTCAATTGTATTTAAGACTTTATGAGTAGCTTTCTTAAGTGTCATATTGTCAATTCAGGGTGTTGGGTATGAATCGAGTGGAGTGTGTAGATGGATTGTATTCGAATAGTAGATCACAAGACGATTTTTGTTTCTTGATGATACTACAAAATATTGTGCACGCTAAGGACTACGGCTTACTTGGATTATATCTTGCTTTAACACACCATTTATCTCGACTGTTATGAAAGAGTTATTTTTGTGAACCCGTCGTGATGTTTTTGTGACTGGTTTAATTTTGTCAATATTAACTTCAAGTATTAATGCGTAAGTATTACACTTCATGCTTTTTGTCGTCAGACAGAATTTTAAGGGCTCTTTAATTCCTTTAAAATTGATAGTAATTGAGGTATGTAGTGTTAACACGTCTATTCTGATAATGTCCAGTGCTACCAAGTTGTTTACAAAGAGAAAATGCACTTTCAATTTTTTGCAAGCTAATCGCCTTGGAAGATTTCTTTGTCTTTTAATGTCGAATTATCTGCCAATAATACCTTCGTGGTAGGTTGAGCATCGTAAGAAAGGTTCCAATGTTAAAAAAGTTCTGATGTAATAAATGTTTTATCGGAGCCAGTATCTATCAGTGTTTGTGTTATATTTTTGTTAATGGTGACTTTAGCCATGGTGAAAGCAAATCAAATAGAAGAAGAAGAAAATTCAAATATAAGATAACCTTTTAAATGTGGTTAGGTAGGAGGGGTTTTTAAACCTTTTATGGTAATTTTCCTAGTGATAGCCTCATGGTAAAAATACTCAGTCCTATTGTTTTAAGTTATGTTCTGCTTAAGGTACTGTCATGTTAGTTAAGTCCTGTTATGTTAGTTTAGGGTTGGAAGGGCATTAATTTGTAAAAGTTTGCTTTACATTTTTCATAGCATCATTTTAATTAAGAAATGGTACTAAAGAAAACCGCCTAAGTGACACAAGTGTGTAACTATGGGCAAATAATTTCAACACATAAAAAGTGAGTTGATTAACCCTGATAAAAATTTGAATTATCATAACGGAAACACTTTACGCAATAATGATTATGTTATTTAAGATTGGCTAAAACCCATTCAACTGAAGAGTTAGCAGAAGCTGCTCTTGTACGTGCAAAACCAAGTCCTGAAAAATCAAATTTGGGAATCAGAATTAAAATGTTTAAAAATCAAACAAGCAAAACAAAAAAAGTGATAAACATCAGCAAAATATGACGTCTCCAGATCAAGCTTTGTCACTTAAAGTTCATTTTGATTTGAGTGATTCGCAATATCAAATTATTCAAAACTCATCTCTGATGCAAAATGCTAACATTCATTTCCCTTTCAAAGCAATCCTAAAATAAAAGTAGATTATTACTCAGAGGGTTTGGATATTACAGAAACATCTGCAAAGTGTAGTTTAAAAAGCATGGTTAACCAAACTTTGTCCCGAATTTTAAAACTAAAATCTGAACAGCCTTAGAATTTAGATGAAACTGTGACAAATGAAGTATTTAGTTTGAAATGTGGCATGGATAGAGCATCTTTACAAAGTATTTACAATCAAAGATTTGATGATACTATTCTTAATACTGGAATGCAGAATGAACTGTTTATATCCCCAATTCTTAACTTCAAAGGAACTATTGCATTTAAAATACTGATTATTTTAAACTGCAATAGCTCCTTTGAAGTTAAGAATTGGGGATATAAACATCTGGAATAATCAAAAACCATCCAGCCTTCATTTCTGTAGATGTCTTTAACTACCATACCAAAAGAAAACAAGTGAACTCATCGCAGAAAAAGTAATAAGTCTTCAAAAAAATAGAAAATCTTGAGGATTATATTTTAGATCTAAACCATTTTAGTAATGAAAAGCATGGTTTCATAAAAATTAAAATTGTTGTTGACTTAACTATGCTTAATAAAAAATTGGTAAATGTTGTCATTGGTTGTCATGGTTTTGAACTCATCGCAATATTACAATGTTTGTTTTGCAAAGCCTAGTGAGATGAACAATCTTCTAAAAATCAGAGTGTTTACTCCTGATGAAAAGTCTTTTATAATGGCAATATTTACTTTACATTGTTGGATTAGATTGTTTGAGTATGTTCTCTACTTAGTATATAAAATGAAAATTAAAAAATATCAGGCAAGATCAGAAGAACATAAGCTTTCTGCTATTAAGCAAAAAAATAAAGTTCAGAACCGGTTTAAAAGTGAGCTCAATCTTTTTGTTGATATGCTGATAAGCATTTGAGAATGCAAATACTTTTACAGATATTACTGGAGTTAATTTTAACATTATTGTTAGACTGAGAAATATAATGGAAGCTGTGTGTAATGGGTACCACATTGATTTGGAGGCCTTCGAAAAATATTGCTTAGCTTCTTATGAAATGATAATTGAAAAATATAACTAGTATATATTGCCACCTACTGTACATAAGATGGTTATCAAATTTCTGATTACCTTGAATTAATAGGTATATATACATATATATACCAATAAGTACATATTCAGAAAAGGCTCAGGAAGCACAAAATGAATTTATTCAAAGTGCAAAATTAAACCATAAATGTAAAATTTTGACAAAGGATGCAATGGAAAACCAATATCATTATCTGCTGTTGCAAAGTGATCTAATAGCATCATCAATCAGCTTTAAAATTGATTAAAACTGATATATATATATATCAATATATGTATCAATATATGTATCAATATATATATATATATATATATATATATATATATATATATATATATATATATATATATATATATATATATATATCAATATATATATATCATATATATATATATATATATATATATATATATATATATATATATATATATATATATATATATCAATATATATATCAGTATATATGTATATATATATATACATATATATATATATATATATATATATATATATATATATATATATATATATATATATATATATATATATATATATAATATATATATATATATATATATATATATATATATATATATATATATATATATATATATATATATATATATATATATATATATATATGTATATATATATATATATATATATATAATAAAAAACTTTTATAACTGAAAATCTTTTGTTTTGAGAATTTTGGTTTATATTTATTTTGATATTTTTCATTCGTCAATTAAAAAATTCACTTTAAAATGTATTTTGCTAAAATTATAAATACAAATTTTAAAAATTTTATTCAACTGAATCCGTGTCGTCATTTTCAACTTTCTGGTTGATTGCTACATTCTTTATGAGTTTTTTTATGTAATGTGGAATGCTATAACCAAAAGCAAGAAAATCATTTTTAAACATGTTGTATAGTTTTCTTATTTCCAAAGACTTCAAACTCGTATAATGACTTTTCATGTCTAATGTTGAAATTGGCAGATAGCGATCTCTTGAATTGTTGGGAAAAGAATATTTTTGGGAAATACCAGCGTTTTTTAATATTGTAGTGGCGTCTTCAAATAATGTTTCCATTTTTCCTAAGTAATTGTACTTAAAGTGACATGGAGAACAGAGTTGCGTCATAAGACCCCAATGTTTATCAAACTTTTTTCCTGATATAATATACCTGATAAACTCTCGAAATGTAACACCCTCCCCTTTTAAATACTGTTCTTCCGTCAGATTTTTACGATATAAACGAAGTATCTCCGAACCGTATTTTATTTGATAATGTGGTGTGTAAGGATCTTGAAATTTATTTCTATAAGCTGACAATAATCTTTCAAATGGATGGCGACTTATTAAAAATGAATAGTAGTATTTCTTACGGAAAGCTTTTTGCGATGCATCAAGAGTCGTAAAATTATCATAGTGAAGCTTATGAACCTAAAATAGAAATATACAAATCATAAAACTGCTTATAAATAAAAAAAAAATCTTTTAAGTGTTGTTGTTACTATTAAAAGAACTTTAACTTCTTTGAATCAAAAATTTGATTCAATTTTTATTATTGTTAAGACAATATCAAACTTCAACAATTTACTGCATTTTTTTCAACAGCCATCACTTGATTTAAATCCATTCTTCCGTCAAATAACTGAAACATTCTTTTCCAAGTTGTACAAGCAGCCTTAGGTATATAACAGTAAAGAAGGCTTTCTTTGTCAGAGTAGATTATGTGCTCGTCCATACTTTTATTTGAAAAATTATGTTTGCAAAATCTTCGCAATTTCTTTTGTCTATCCTCTTGTTGATCAAAAGTATTTTTGGAACGCACCATATCCTGAAAATTTTAATGCTTAATAAAATTAAAAAAAGGACTTCTTCAATGTTAACAAATAAACAGACATGTTAAAAACTGTAAGAAATTTTATGTAAAGTAAAAAAACTTTTTCAATTTTAACAAATAAACAGACATGTTAAAAATAGTAAAAAATTTTATGGAAAATTTTGTGAAAAATATAATACGCAACCATCGGGTATATTTAATATCAATCGCACACAGTGACCAAAGCCTACCAAAAAAAAAAAATACGCAATATATTTTTTTATGCACACTTGGTCACAAAAATATTTTATCACATATTGATTAATACAAAATTTTTTTCTTTCTTTTCTTTTAAAAAAATTTCTTTCATAAACCAGGGAATTTTATAAAAAAAGTCTAATAAAGTCACTACTTTAACATAATTGTTCGTCTTTGAACAAAAGATTTTGTTTATTAGTTAAAAAGTTTTATGTCAATTTGAATTTAGACATTTAAAGTTATGTATGAACACACTTTTTTATAAATTAGACTGTAATATGACAAAGATTAGGAAACAAGTAAAAAACATGGCCAGTATAACAAAGCAATTTTTAAAGCTTGAAACACCATCATATAATTTTCAGATCGAATACCAAGTTTAAAAAGACGCATTAAATCAGTCAAAAATTTGGCAGAACAACAACTCTTGGATGTTGTAATAATTATAAGTAAATAGTTGCTTATTAATCGCAGTTAACTATTTACCAAACAAAAAACATTAGGTTTATATTGCTAAATATTGTAAATTTTAAGTAGTTATATATTGCTAAAAATTGTAAATTGTAACGAAAAGTCAGATTTTGAAAAAACTCATTTAGTCACTGTGTATACGCTGTATACCATTATGTTGCAGATTATTTTGATTAATAAGCAATATTTTTACCTTAACACAACCAATTGATAACAACTTTTTTAAATCGTAACGTAGATATTTATCTAAAATAAAATTTTTCTATTCATTGTTTTTAATTAAACAATATTTTAAACAAATTTTATAAAATTTTAATTGAATTTTATTAAAAAGTAAACAGGAATCGAGTTTGAAATAAACTACTCAAATTAATAAATGCATTAAACTTACCAGTTAGATTAGTGTGTGGTACGCGGTGCTGAGTGGTACAGTTAACCGAGCTATGCTGAATCAATACACATACAAAACAAATATATAATATCCAAGTTGATTTATATTCCATAATTTTGTGAAATAATTTAATTAGTTTTTTGATTTTGAAGTTAAGTTTTTTAAAATATATTAGTCTAAATAAAAATAAACACTTTACATTCTTCATTGTTTTTCAAATACAAATTAGTTTGTAAATAAATTACAATATTAACAAAAATAAATTAACAAAATAACGAAAAGTTCCTAATGACATTAAAAAAAAAAAAAAAAAAAAAAATTTTTAATGTTTCGAAATTGTTTCGAAACCATTTTAACAATGTTTTACTGTTAAAATCATAAAACATTTTATGACTTTAATTTACATCTAATTTTTATTTTCATCGAAACAAAAATTTAAAAAACAATTACAACGGAAATGACTTGCTTCCTTTGATATCAAAGGAAACTTTTTTTTTAACTTGTAAAGTTATTTGTAAAATAAAAAAAAAAGTTTTCTCCCAATGGCCGTATTTTTTTTTTTTTTTGCGTGTCGTAGTTTTTTATACGTCTTTGTTTTATTCTTTATTGATTATAAAATGATAAAACAATTAAATTTTTATTTAAATTTGTAATTTAGTACATAAAAAGACTATAATTTGTTAGCCATGGCACTGATTAGTTTGTTTGTAACAATCATATAATCAATAAAATAAAAAGTGTAAAAAACGAGTTCTTAACGATTGAATAATAATTATTAAAAAAACGTTATTTATAAGAATTGATAGTTGTAAAAATAAAATAAATTTGTGTTTAAAAAAAAAATTGTTTTATGCTCTATACCCTCAAAACAACTCTTAACACACGTGGTTTTGGGCGTCTATAAATATATTTGACAGTTGCTGTCATAAAGTAAGAAAAAAAAAATTATTATCGACATTTTTTTCTCTCTAAAAAATACAATATTCTTTAAAGTAACTAAAAGATAACATTGATTTTTAAATATTTACCGGTGTACCGTAAGAAGGTAAGATACAAATCTGTTGTTAGAGAACGTTTCCTGCGAACAAGCCTTAATTTGTTTTGTTTGATTGGTTGGTTGGTGTAACATCTGTCAAATATGTTTAATATAAATTAGGTCGTTAAACAAACAACACTATATTTTTAAATCTGTTAAAAATTTCAAATTTTTTTACCAGAAAGAGACGGTTTGCAGACAACATTAATTTTATGTTTTTATTTAAAGAAAAGTGCAGAGTTGCATCGAATGCTTGTCAAGACATTTGGCAATCATGCTCTATCAGATGCATCATGGAAAAGATGGTTTCAACGGTTTAGAGATAATGGTTTCGATGAGAGAATAAAAAACAGAAAGACCATCAAAAAAGTTTGAAGACGCCGTGAAAATACTTGTGAAAATTTTCTTTAAAGATACGAAAAAAAAATCACTTTTGCATCGATATTAGGGATGAAAAATGGATTTTTTTAAAGAATTCTGAACGGAAAAAATCATGGGTTAAACCGGGACAATCATCAACATCAACTGCAAAACCAGATTGATTCGGCAATTAGACAATGCTCTGTGTTTGGTGGGATCAGATCGGTGTTGTGAACCTTGAGCTTTTAATGAAACTGTTAATACTAATTGCTAAAGACAACAAATGATCAATTTCAACCATGCATTGATCAGAAAACAACTAGAATGGCCCAAAGACACGGCCAAGTAATTTTGTTACACGATAATGCACCATCACACAAAGCAAAACCGGTTCAGGATACCATCAAAGCACTTAGCTGGGAACTGCTACACCACCCGCGGTATTTACCAAACTTGGATCCTTCCAAATATCATTTGTTTTCATCGATATGATACGCATTGGCTGAGCAGCACTTCAATTCCTATAAAAAAAGGTAAATAATGTCTGTCAGATTGGTTTGATTCCAAAGGCAAACATTTCTATTGGTGTGTTATCCACAATTTGCAAGAAAGGTGGTCAAAATGTTTCAAAAGCAATGGTCAATACTTTGAAAAAAATATACACCAGAATTATCAGCTTGTTCAATATTATTTTTACGGAAAATCAAGAGGTTCGCGGTTCGATACCAGTCCTGCCAAAATAAGCTATATTTTTAAGGAAGGAGGAGTGAACTTCCAAAACTTCCAAAAATGTCTTTACAATTTAATCGAAAAAAAATGTTTTTGAGTTAGCGATAAACCATATGTGAACAATAGAAATAAAATCTTATACAATCAAAAGTATATTTCACACACATGGAAAAATATGTTAATGGCTTAAAAGCTGAACTGCTGCTTTGTTTGTAAACTATATTCAAGCAAAACACCCCCCTTTCCTTTCCCCAGTACCAATATGTATAGTAAAAACATCTAGAAACATCTGCAAAACACTAAACACTGATATTTTTGGCACATTTATAAACAAAAAATACACCCTAATGTTGATTGATTAAAGATCTAAAAATCGGTTTGTTGAAGTAACCAGTTTCAGAAACATAAAACTTTCATTTAAAAGTTTGCTAATACTATAAAGTTTTGAACAGCCTCCTTTTTATTTATACTCAGCTCAGTCGTTTAATAAAATGTATGAACTCCATCATGATCACATTACTCCACAATGGCTGCAGAGAAATGGAGATTTGAAATGTTTTAACCAATCCATCACTAATATTGTTAAGTTTTTTCTATAGATAAAACTTTACCTAAAAAGTTTAAAAAGTTCTCCTTATAGCGCAACAAGTAAAGTATCAGAAGACTTGACTTGTCTAACTTCCTCAGATAATAAACTAACTGCCAACCAAAGTATAACATTAGAAAAAACAAATCAAATACAAATTACGTGTTAACTGCTAAATGCAAGAAATATCTAACATGTTTTTGAAAGCAATTAAAGTAACCAAATAAATAAAAAATTAAAAAAAAAAAGGAAAATTGTTGATTAAGAAACTGAAGTAGAAAAACAAATACAACTTGAACCGATACAAATACACAAAAACCAACTGCGGCTAAACATGCTCCTCAAAATAACGTTTTACACAGAAATAGTTTAAATATCGAAATTTGGCGAAAACAATAATATAAAATTAACTAACCGAACACAACAGACTTTACAAACATTTTATTGAAAATTTTACACATACTTAGAATTGCAAAAAAAAAAAAAATATTAAAAAAAAAATACGTTTTTTTTTTCACAATTCTAAAGAGATCTTTGGTTTTACTTTTAGCAAAAATAGTAATATAAAATCAAATAACAGAACAAAAAAGACTTGACAAATATTGTTTTCTTACACATATCTTTGGTTTTAGGTGAGAACAAGGAAAATGTGTTATCGCAGTTAAATGTAGAAGGAGGACAAATTCCGTAGCGAAATCTTGGTTGCATTTATAAAATCAATTCAGTATAAATACGGAATTTATTTTATAAATACGAAAATTCCTAATGTATAAAGAATTTGGGAATAAATGTAATTGCGGAGTATAAAAAATACAATAGAAAGAAAACATTATAATATTTATTAATAAAAAAGATTGCGTCACTGAATCTAAAGAATTTATCTTAAATAATGACGTACTTGCTAAATGTACTTTAAAAGCTCTAATTTTGAGCATCAGTGAATGGCCGACCACTTTTCTTAACACAATGAAAGTGCGCAAGTTTTCTACGTTTTTCACAAATTTATGATTTATTAGTCATTTTTATTTGCTAGCCAAAACAGAGTTGGTACGTTTTTACTAAACAAAAGATTACTGGTGAATAGTTTTTAATAAAATTCATAAAACTACGTGGGTTTTTAATTTAATTTAAAATGAATGCTAAATATATAAAATATGTACGTATATGTTACAATAAATACAAGTTGATACAAATTTATGAAACGTTACTGATGACGTCATACTAAATACCCATAACGGTGTTATTTTAGCATGATGTATGTATGTATGTATGCATGTATGTATGTATGTATGTATGTATGTATGTATGTATGTATGTATGTATGTATGTATGTATGTATGCATGTATGTATGTGTGTATGTATGTATGCGTGTATGTAAAATATTCCTTAAAGTTTCATAATTCTTGCGATTAAATTTAGTTGACACACAGAATACTGGTTGATGAACATTTAATATGAGGACACATTATTTAACTGTCAATCTTACAACAAATCTTTTAAATTGCTTTAACCGTTCCATTTGCATAATCAATTTTAAGTATAGTATTTTTCCAAATTTCGTTTAAGATAAGAAGAATTTAAACTTTGTGTAACTAGACTACAACACATGACCTTAAAAGTTAATTTTTATACTCAAGTTTTAACCCATCTTTCAAACCAAGACATAAAAATAAGTAAAGCTGAAATGTGGAATTGAGATATAACGTTAAAAATTAACTTACGTTGCAAGTTGTAGATTTGTCTCTTGACTTGCATTTATATGTAATCATGTAATCATCATAAAAAAGAAAAAAAAACTTTATGCTTAATATCTTTTTATGTTTAGGAGTTGTATATTTGCTTACGTAATATTAGCATATTCGTTGTAGCAACTAACTAAAGTGTTATATTAAAAGCTTTAGTTAATGCATAAACCTTTGTGCATCGCGTCCTTTGTTTTTTATATCTGATTAAATACGTTCATTGAGTAAGCTATTTATATTTAATAAAAATACTGTATCGATAGGTTTGATTATCAAAAGTATGATTCTGACAATTTTTAAATATAATGATTTTAAAATGATTTTTTAATTTTAAAACTTTATAGTAAAAAAATATTTTAAAGCATTTTCGTAAATTAAATTTAAAAATTAAAAAAATTGCTTATAGCAATTTAAAGTTATGGTCGTTTCCACAGCTACCATGAGTTTAACGAAAGTTATTATAATAAGTTAGATTAAAAATATGGAAAACCATTACAAATAAATTTTTGCAACCACAAATGCAATACTTAAAGGGTTTATTTAATCAATTTATTTGCCGTTCGTTACAATTACAATAATAAAAATTTTAGAAATACAAAACATTTTTTTTTCTTTTTTATAACAATCCTCAGTATATATAGTATGTATTTCAAAAAATCAATGTTTAAAAATCTCTAGTTTATATATATGTGCAAATTTTTACAAAAAAAACCATACACAAATGTTACTGTATCACCAGGGCCGCCGAGAGAATGGGGGGGGGGGAAGGAATTAAGAGGGGCTCACGTGCCCCGGGTGCCAAGATATCAAATGTACCAGAAGACGAAGAAAAGTTTATTAATATCCTACCATATGTTAAAAAATATATTTTGAGTGTTTTTTCTAGAGTCTATACACTATAGTGTTAAATTCCTTAATGAGCTTTTTTGCCAGACAGCAACAAAATATTGGAACCGATCATTGACTTCAAAATTTGTTATGTTTTTTTTCTTCGAAACTTCTTTGATTGTCATAAAATTTTATTGTAATTTTGAAATGGTTGAAAACAACATCTTCTGATTTCAATAAATTGGGACTAACGTTTTTCACTATAATGGATTACTACGTTTAAAATAGAAAGCTGTGACGTTTTAAAAAGTCTACTCAGCTATTTATTTATAACTTTTTTATGCTTCTATTTATTTTTAAATAATACAACGTTTTTCTGACAGATAAGTGGTACATTTTTCTTATTACAATGTTAAAAATAAATTGTCATATAACATAAATAAAATGACAAAAAGTTGTCATATCACAACAAATAAAACAGTTATTTTATTTGTTTTCATATGGCAACAGTGTCTTTTTATAGTGCTAAAACTTTTTTAAAAGCATTTTTTTTTAAATTTGTACACAACTTTAAAATTACATTTTAAAAAATATATTATTATTGTTTGATTATATTAATTAACTGCTTAGAAAACAAAATCTTAAAAAAGAGCTGCAAAAACACGAGACTTTACCTTCAACTTGCGATCAGATTCATAAATACTTATTAGGTTAGATTCAAAAATATTTATAAGATTAGACTCATAAATCTTTATTTGTTTATTAGATGATGATAAAGATAATTATAAGTTTTTTTACAAAATCAAGAATAAATAGCGTAGACCTAGCACAACAGTTGTGCTAGGTCTACGCTACGTCATCACTTTTTGTCTCATAAGTTACTTATGAGACAAAAAGTGATGACGAATTATTACCGGCATATAATCAATGTAGTGTTTTCTTGATAATTAGAGAGCGGTAGTGCTAAAACAGGCTTAAGTATAATTTGTAAAAGTCATTATTCTATGTCTGAGATCAAATGTATTTATCAACGACATAAAGGTGCAACGCTTCACGATGTCATTTACAATTAATTTTTTTTCTTAACCTTTAATGGTAAAGGTTTGATAAATCCCTACTTAATATATTTTTTGGTCAAAATGGCCAGTATAATTTAATATATTATTTTGGCCATTTTGCCAATATTGAACGAAAAATTCCATAATCTGCGGATAATTTTGGATAAATTCAACATTTCTTCATTAGATTACACAGTATCTGAAGCTATAAAGATTTTGCTTCAAATGGTTGGAAAACAAACTGCAATATCAAAGCACCCTTGTCCGTTTTGCATGGCCTCATCTCCTAACTTTTAAAAAACCTGATCATTATTCTTTAGAATCTTTATGCAGATTTTATAACTAATGGATATCTGATAGTACAAAATTAAAAAATACAAAAATGTTCACAAATGTTGTTTAACCTCATTAATAGGGGACAAAAATAATAGAGCTTGTAAATATTCCCAGTCTACATATAATTTTAGGTGTTATAGAAAATATTTTAGAAGAGATTGAAAAAAATTTGTTTGAATACAAGGAGTGTGTGTTACAGTTTGTCAACCGATATTTGTCTACGATATACATCTGAAGAGTATCTTACCAAGGGCAGCAAAGTTTCGAAGTCATTGCTTGCAATAAGTTGCTTAAAAACATATACAGCATTGAGCTGTTTTTTCGTGAGTCCCGTATCCAAATAAATTAAGAGATTTAGAAAAAGTAGTTCTTCACTGTTTTGGAAATCATTAAGCTCTACTTAAGTCAAAGATATAGAGCAGTTGTCTACGAGCTATAGAAATCTAGGGCTACAATTCCTTTAAAAGTACATATAGTTAAGCAACATATAATCAAATTCATTGGCATGAAAGGTGGAGTCTTTGGTATGATAAATCAATTTTAAGTTTTAAAAGATTAAATTATTATTATTTAGTTATAATAAAAGTAACTAAATACTTATTATAACAATAATACAACAGTTTATGCAAATTTAAACTTGCATAAACTATGACGATTATTCATTAAATAGACTAAAACTTCTTTTCTACATTTTATGTTTTGTACGCTTATGTTACTGGACCGAACAAGCTCTCGAATCCATTCACCAGGATTTCAATAAATTTATGCGAATGAGAAAAATTTGAGAACACAGCCTAAAGCGCTATTGAAGCGCTAAAAAACGCAGTTATTGCTTACAACTACAAAAACTTTTAAAGTAGCTTTCAATTTGCAGGTAGCTTTTAAAAAGTATAATATTAACCTCTTTCGAACAACTGTTTAACGTAATTTCTTGATATATGATATGATGATATATGACATGCAAAATATAAATAATAATTTAACCACATAGACTAGAAATTTTTTTTTACGCAATAAATTAGTTGTAGTTAACCCTATTGGACCCCTAATACCCCACCCCTAGTGTATGTTTCCTTAAAGGAATTTTTCAAAAATTTTTTTGTGTTATATTAAATTAGATCAAAGTTCATCGATTTTAAATTTCATCGAAATTTAAAATTCATAAATGGTCATAAATCTTAAACGAAAAGATATTTTTTGATGAAACTTGAAATCTGTTGATAAATTTTGGTCTAATTTATAGTAAAACTTAAAAAAAAACTTTATTATCTTAGGAGATATAGTTCTAGGAAGGGGGCAACTCAGGGTCGGGACGGGGTTGGATTAGCTTCAATTACCTAAACCTTTTTGCAATTCATCCTCATTTGATACCAGTATTAACATAGTCTGTTAATATTTAAAATCGCCTTGCCAACCTAAATGATTCTGAACTGCTCTAAAATACTTGAACCAATTTATGGTTTGATAAAAGTTATGTGAGAAGAAGCTAATAAAATTACATTTAAAAGACTCTTTTCTGAATAAGTAATTGCAACATCACATGTGTCACGTTACAGACGTCACGTTGAACGTCGCATGCAGTTGACTTGTAATCTTTAAACAATAAGCATCGAATTATTAACATCAAATTATTAGCATAGAATGAAAATGTTCAGGTCTTTTTAAAACCACTTTTAAATTTTTTGCCCTCAAAAAATCAACTATGAATGAATTTAACTGTTAATTATGGCATAAAAATGCATAAAACTAACCTTTTTGGGGACGATTGTTAGTGAAATGTATTTTTATATTTTTGGAATTTAAATATTTTTATACAGTATTTAATAGATGTGCTACAGACATGGCAAATTTCAATGGTACATGTTAGAAACCATTCAACTAACTTTATTTTTGATGAGTTTTCCTTTTACCAATTTATATTTGCAGTGTCATACCATTATGAAAGTTATCATTCAGATATTTTAATTCGTCTTGTAAAAAACTCCAAACTTCCTGCAATGCGTGAACAACCATACCTTTTTAAACAGAATCAGTAGCATCACGTGACTACATGTAAACTAAAGTCTTAATAAAGTTTTGAGCTATTTTACTTATGTTATGTTAAGCTATCTTTTTTTTTTGTCTTGTCATTGTTTAAAAATCTATCCAAAAGTTCAATAATCGCATATTAACATAATATAATCGGGTATATGCTAACATTTAAAAATACTACATTTTAATTATTAATTTTACTAATTACATATGTTAGAGGCAGATGCAGTATTTATATTTAAATCAAGTAAGAATACTTTGCAAAAAATTGCGATGATTAGGGCCTGGGAACAAAAAGCATTAAAAATTTCATCCCCCTCTACCCCAAAAGTGAGAGCAACAAGTTAATAAAATAATTTTTTTTTTGCTACCCTTAACTAATTTTATATTCATTGATAAAATTTAAATTTTATCCAGTAATCTCTTAATGTTTAAAAACTACAACCATAAAAAGCTTGAACCCCTTTAATTTGAAAGAGTTACAAATTTTATATTTTATATAAATGTATATTATTAATTATTCATGTTTTATATGCAAATTTATTCTTAAACGTTGACTTAATCCTTTCAAAGTTGCAAAGCTTCTTTGCAATGCTTCAAGTTACCGCCACTTAAAAAAAGCATTTTTTTAGAACTCACTCAAATAAATCTGCTGTATTTACCAAGGTAACGAGGTATTATGTTTTCTTTGTATTCAAATCGTGGATGGTAACGTTATTTACACATAAAATACAAATAAATAAAACGTATTTGTATTTTTATTTTATGCCTTTATTTGTATTTGCATTTTATTGTTTATTTCAAACTTCTTTTTATTTGTATTTTTTTATTATTTGTATTTTATTAAAA